CCACTGCACCATCCCTGATCAAAATTTGAAAGCTTGGCAACTGGTACATATTTACGACAGTTGTCGCATCCTGGGATCATGTGATTGCCATTTGCAACCTTCCCAGCCAACTTCCAAAAAGCAAAGTCAATGGAGGAAATCTGATTCACCCAACAACTATGATTCTCTTAACAACTCCAAGGATTCACAGCAAGAAAACTAGTAAAATGAGATAGGGCTCACTTAACAACCATCTTGTTTAACAATGGAAATTCTGGTTGCAACTGTGGTTGTAAGTCAAGGACTATCTGTAATTGTATCCCTGTTTTCCTTAATGAAGAAAAGTGACATCAGATAGACTAGCTTTAATCAAGTAACTGTAGCCTAAGTCTAAGTAACTATGGCCCAACTTTCCAAATATCCAATCCGAATCACATACGACCTTGCAGGTCGTATGCAACCCTGTGAGTGGAGTCAGCAAGGACATAGCAAGCGATCAGTTATTAATCCCAGCCAACAGTTTACTGCAGCACACAATGAAAACTAAGTTGATTTTATTTGTTGTGGGGGGTACTTTGAGTTCATGTTGACCCTTGGCAACTTCCTGGACAAGTCCCTGCAGTTTTCTTGCCAAGATTTCCAAAGTGGCTTGCCATTGCCTTCTTCCTAGGGTTGAGAGGGGTTAGCCCAAAATCACTCAGCTGGCTTCACACTTAACATGGGACTAGAATTCGTGGTCTCCTGATTGTCTCAACTACTACACCAAATTGGCTAAGTTAAATGAAACCTTTTTGTCTCCATCCATATTCCTGATCATTTGTACAAGCATTCATATTCTGCTTTTCATTTGTAAACATCATATCTAACATCATGTGAAAGTATGATGTTACAATATTCTATGTATTTTATTTCATGGAGGAAGAAGGATTAAGAATTCTAGTTCTGTATTTCTCAGGCATAATGTATATGAAAGTTTAAAAGTTCTTATCTACTCCAGAAATGTAATAGGAAGATAACAGATTTTAGCATTTTAAGATTTAGAAAATTAATTTTAAGTATGTTCTACTTATCTTGATTCTGTTACAATGTTCTCATTGGTCAGACCGATTATAAATCTACTCAACTGAATAGTGCACAATTCTGTAGAAATTTTAGGTCCTTACTGAAGCATGAATCATACAGGGGCAAGTCATATGTGCAACATCTATCTCAAATGACCAAATGACCACTGCAACATAGCAGGTAATTATAAAAAAGCAACCTAGTCTTGACACTGCATATTCTAACTGCACATTCAAATTAATAAACATTTGGTAACTGCTGATCTCACACTCATTTTTATTTACCATCATTCTGGTTTTTAATAACTAAATTTTAAATTCTAAAGAAATGTGGGGGGAAAACATCTCTCTTTTATCTACAGGTAGTCCTCAACGTAGGATCATAATTGAGACCAGAATTTCAGTTGTTAAGCAAGGCAATTATTAAATGAGTAATGCCCAATTTTGCAACTTTCTGCCACAATTGTAAGCAAATCATACAAATGGTTGAGATATGTGGCTGTTAAGCAAATTTGGCTTCCCCCATTGACTTTCCTGGTCAGAAGGTGGCTGGGGAAGTCACAAATGGTGATCATATGATCCTGGGATCATTATAAATACATGCTGGTTGCCAACTACCCAGATTTTGATCACATGACTGTGGGGATGCTGTGACAGTTTCTAGGTGCAAGGCCCAAATGTCACTCTTTTCATGGCCATTGTAACTTTGAATGGTCAATAAATGAATGGTTGTAAATTGAGAACTATTTTTGAGTCAATGCTACCAACTCATTCTTGAGTTGGTAAAAAGATATGTTAGCATGAATTGTGCTTTGTTTCTTTGTCAAAAACCAGTTAAGAGTCAGTGAAATTATACTAGAAGCCATTTTAAAAATCACATTTAGACAGCAAAACCAATACAGTGTGAAGTGGAGAGCCGAATGCAATGAAATTTCATTTTAATATATGTTGATCAGTCTACATTTAAAGTGACAATAAAGTTTGCATTGCACTGCATTGCATTGCATTGCATCTTAGCAGAAAATAAAGAGCATTATGTGAAAGGCTCTTTCAAATGTGAAAGAGCCCAGAACAAGACAGTGAAGATATGTAATTATTGGTTGTAGTGTATCAGTGTGGTTTGGTGGTGAAGAGATCAGGTTAGAAACTGTGAATCTTTGCGTTTTGGTTCCATCTTAGGCAAAGCTGGATGATCTTGGCCAGTCCCTCCCTCTCAGCCCTAGGAAGTAGATAATGGCAAACCATGTTGGGGAAAAAAACTTGTAATGTACAGACATCTGTTTGTATAAAACCCAGCCCAAGCACATCAGCCTTACCAAGTGGAGAGAAAAGCATCCATACTACTGATCGACAACATGAGCTACCTCAAGAACAAGGTCAGAGGAGAAGAGCAGAAACACACAATCACCTCTTGGCCTTAACAAACTTTCTCCAAAAATATTCTTAGACAAAGAGATCAAACAGGGTGGGGGTGGAGAAATCAGAATATATAAGAACTCTAGATTCAAATCAGAGAGCAGTATTAAATGCCTAATACATTCACTATCAGTTCTAATATCTAATATTCAAATCAGTTCTGCAGGAGCTGGTTGAAATCTGTATGATCACAGATTTTAAATATCAAATAAAATTTCCTATATATTTTCATTAATTTATATTTGTCTGAAGTTTCCCAGGACAAATGAAAAACGCATGCAGAAGAACAAAGACTAGTCCAAAAATTCTTTTTGGTGTTTCTATTCCTCCTCCTTCCCTCCACTTCCCATTAATTACATATTTGATAGAAAATCACATGTTTGACTCACATTAAATATTAAACAAAACTGGCATTATTCAGCTGCCAGTTTTATGCCCAAGATGTTTGAATAAAGGGTGTGGCTTATAATGGAGTTTATATGATGAAAAGTGTTCAGATAAACTTTTAGCATATGAAATGGACTTACAAGCCCTTTTAAATCAAGAATATAGCATGTTCTCTCTCAATATTATCATCCTCCAAGTCCTTGTTGGTGATTGTAACAAAGATTACAATGCTAGCTGGTCTACTGAATTCCTATTTATGGTATTCTTCAATCTCTCTCTCTCTCCCTTCCCCTCTCTCTGTGCGTGTTTAACAGTTGTGTAAGCTGATGTAGAGGTTCAGGGTTTGTCCTTCAAACTCCTACATATGCAGATATTCATTTTACCTGTTTTTTTAAATAGAAAAATTTATTAAATTAAAATTTATTAAAATAAACAGGGAAGAGAAAGTGTCCCTTGAGTCAAGTTCAACACAAGACAACTTTATGGCTTGTTCATACAGGCTTCTTGGCAACAATACAGAAGTAGTTTACCACTGCCTACCTCCAGGATTGTTTTGACTTCCCAGTCCAGTCCACAACCTCGGTATTTCCCAATAGTGCCACATCAAAATAGCATCCTGGTCCAACTTAATTTCCAAAAACCAGATAAGGACTTCAAGTACTGCCAAAGTTACCCTTCAGAATCAGAGGAAGTCAGTCAAGGCAGCAATAGCACATGCTTACCCGAGAGAATTAACGGAACTCACTTCTGAATAAACAGCACTGCAAATCGATTACCAAAGCCTTACAAACTGTATGTAAGTTGCTGGGTTTTTAGTATTGGCACTGCAAACGGATCACCAACACTATGTACAGTGTACTTGACTTTGTCTCAATTCACAAAGCAACAGCCAACTCTTACTATCTGTAGCAAACCACTGCAAATTGTGAGTGCATCTGCCCTTAAAAGAGAATGCATTCTTTATGCTTCTATTTAGTTCTGATGCAACTACCGATCTACATTTTGTGAATTAATATTTTGTACACAGATAGATGACATGATCTATCTATCTATCTATCTATCTATCTATCTATCTATCTATCTATCTATCTATCTATCTATCTATCTATCTATCTATCTCTTTCCTATTCACCTCAATCACATGCAAACCCACTACAACTCTACAACTATGCACGGCCAAAGGCAGACAATTTGCTCTTCACAAAGCAATGAAGCCAATGCAAAAAAAAAAAAAAAAAAATGAAAGGGCAAACTCAGCACAACTTCGCCAGGGCGCATTTTGCCAGGGGGGAAAAAAAACGGGGGGGGGGGGGGGACCGAGGTGAGGGGAAAAACCAACCGTCCAGCTCTTGTGAGGGAATGCGGAGCAACCTTTTAAGACTCTGGATTTCCCCACGTTCACACATAAAGAACCGGGGGAGAGAGAGAGGGAGAATAAAAACCAAACAAGCCGAAGCAGACTTACTGCAATCGCTTGCAGCCTTTCCTTGTGCAATTCAGCCTCCGCCATCCTTGGGCGCGCGGAGGATGCAGCAAACCGCAGAGAGGACCTGGCAAAGCAACGAGGGAATCGCGCTTCCGAGTTATTGAACGCCGCCGAGTGGAAAAAGTCAAGCCGGGTGGATTCTGGTCGTGGAGGGGGGTGAGAGAGAAAAAAACCCGCCACAGCTCGGGAAGTCAACGCATTTCAAACCGGCCTGGTGCCCGCCTGCTTCCCAGCTGCAGGGCTGCTGTTAGCTACATTTCATCGCTGCGTCTGGGCGCCACCGCCGCTGCTGCTGTCACACGACAGCATTGCCAGCCCAACGCTAGCGCGGTCCAGGGTTGCAATCTTTTTTTTTTAAATTACATTTATTTTTCCCACCCCCTTTTCTCTTCTCTCCTCCTTGACGTTTCGCAGCGCTCGCTCCTCCTCTGGAGCGCTCTCGCTTACACCAAGGAGGCTGGACGTCGGCGGCGTCTGTAGTAATCAAAACCTGCCCGAACAGACGCGGGCGGGAGGACGCGGGGTGTGGGGGTGAGAGGCGCGGCGACGGCGCAGCCCGACGCGGGGAGCCGAGAAGAAGGTATTTCCCCCGCCTCGCGGCCTTGGTGCCGCCGCTCTCTGCGCGGGGCTCTCCCTGAGAGGGAAGAAGAAGAAAAAAGGAGAACGAATCGCTGCCCCGGAGCTTCCCGGGTGTTTCCTTTCACCCAGCGTCGGGAGCCCGGCCTGTCACGCTCCTCTGCGGCTCTCTCTGCCCTTTGATTTGTGTTTACGGTAAAGGAGGCGAACCTGCGGTAAAGTACAGGTAGTCCTCGACTTACGACCGCAGTCGAGTCCAAAATTTATGTTGCTCAGTGAGACATTTCTCAAGTGAGTTTGGCCCCCTTTTAACCACCTTTTCGTGCCACGGTTTGTTAAAGTGAGTCGCTGCAGTGGTTAAAGTTAGGACACACAGTTGTTAAGTGAACCTCACTTCCTTCCCCTGCTTGTCAGGTGGTCGCAAAAGGGGATCGCATGACCTCGGGGCACAGCAACGGTCATCAATGTGAACCAGTTGGCACGCATCTGAATTTTGATCAAATGATCATGGAGATGCTGCAAAGGTCATAACGGAAAAATGGTCATAAGTCACTTTTTTTCAGTGTTGTCACTTTGAACGGTGAGTAAATGATCTGTTGTAAGTAGAGGATCACCTGTCTACTTGAGCAAGGGAAGGCTCTTATCTTCCCCTCCTGCTTTAGCTCATCCAGCTAACCTGTAGGGAAAGGATGACAGGGAGGCCATCTTCTCCCCTGTAATATTTTGCTTGGTTAAAAAAAATGTTCCTTGGGCAAGGCACTCTTGCATGGGAAAAACATAGAGGAGAACTGCGAAGGAGCCTTCCCAGCTCCACTGTCGCTTCCAAACATTTCCTCCTCTTAAGGGCTCTTGTCTAAACACAACTCTAGGAGAAAAAGAAAAAAATGAAGAATTGGTAAGCTTTCAAGGCCTCCAGAACTGCTCATCAGGCAAGATGTCATAAAAGACAAGTAGCATGTGTGTGGAAAGTGAGGAAAAACATGAGGCCTTGGAGTGCGGAGAAATGGGTTTGATACCCTGGCCATCTATTGAACTTCACAACTTCTGAACTGATTCTTGGTAATAAGAAAATATACTTGCACGGAAAACCTTCTACAGCAACACAGATGGATTTCTGTAATTCAGCTAATCAGAGATCACACATTTAGGCAGTCTCTGCCATTGGAAGTCGGTTTCATTGGACTGCCATGCTGTGGCTAGCTTTGCACAACGGGCTTAACCAGGACCACTGAAGACATATTGGCTTGATTTGAACTTATATCACAAGCTTGGTTAGCTTTATGCTTGACCTGGTGTATTTCTAGAGCTTAACTCTAGAAAAAGGATGAATATATTTAATAAATATCACATATACACGTGTCTATGCAGGAACAGTATAACCATTTTTTTAATACCTTCAAATCAGTGCTGACTCATGCAAATTGCCTGGACTAGTCCCTGCAAAATTTCAGAAGTGGTTTGTCATTACTTTCTTCCTGGAGTTGAGAGGGACCGACCCCAAATCACTCAGCTGGCTTCAGGCCAAAGGCAGAACTCAAACTCCTGTAGCCTGGTATCTTAGGTGTTAGGCTAAACTGATTCTATAACCAGTTGATGTATAAAAAAAAATTTAAAAAAGTTTCAGATAGACCTCCGTTTTGGAAAATAAGCTTAGTATCTTTTAAAGCAAATATCTGCATACTCAAAGCAGTAATTGATGGGAACATCTTATTGTTTTATTTTCTAAGACTGAATCCTAAACAGTATAAACTGAACTGTCCACTCCTTCCCAGTACCCCTAACTTCCATATGTGAATAACACCAAACAATGAGATAGACATTAAACTTCATGTTAAATTGTTTCCAATAAAATTTAATTTAAATATTAAGTGCATGTCCTTCATAAAGGTGTTCTGCAAACATGGAATGTTTTGCTGTATTTCCTTTGAATTATTCCTCAACTGAAAGAGAGATGTTCCAATGTGGGGTAAGCTGAATTGGATCCATACAGTCCCATACCAGCCTGCTGATATGTAGTCAGGATGAATTAAAATTGCCTCAAGAGCCAAGGCAGATGCCCCATTCCAGGTAGAAAGATCTGCAGATGTTTCTGATTAAGATGGATTTTTCTGATGGAAAACATGCTCCCATTTCTAGAACATGCTGCAGAATTGTCTCTGGAGATTCTCCAGATTATGGTTGTTCCAAATGTACTTTTTTAAAGAAGCAGCTGGACTGTCTTGTTTTTCTTTGAAGACGTTTCACTTCTAATCCAAGAAACTTCTTCAGCTCTGACTGGATGGTGGGGAATGGAAGGATTTATATTCCTTGCAGACAGCTGGTCATTTACATTCTGTTAGAGAGTCTTTGAGGCCACTTGAAGGTTTCTCTGTGTCCTCAGGGTCATCTGGATAGTGCAAATGGGTGTGGAGCCTTCTTGGAATTTATGAAAGGACTGTTGTAGACTGGAGATAGATGATGCTGTATCCTCCTCCTCTGTTGAGAAAGGGCTGTTCAGTTTTGATATAGATGACTTCTTTGACCCCTCTTTCAAATCAGCAGTCCTCTCTGTCCAAAATGTGGACTTTGCTGTCTTCAAATGCAGATGGACTTCTGAATCTTGTCCTGATGGGTTTGTTCTCTTATGTTGTGCCATGTGTTTATGAAGTGATTGTTCTGTTTGGAGAGTCAGTCGGAGCTGAAGAAGCTTCTTAGATGAAAAGTGAAATGTCTTCAGAGAAAAACAAGAAGGTCCAGTTGCCTCTTGAAAAAGGACCTTTGGGACATGCTGCAGAGTTGAGCAATAATGCACTTTCCACACACATCATTTGACATGAATGATGCAAATCCTGAGCTGTTGTTCCATATCCTGGGCATCAGATTTATGGAAACTGGAGTAGGGTCATCTTCAAATAATTTATCTGATGTATTCCTTCTATAATAGGCATAAATGTTACTACAGCAACAAAATGAGCAACCTTCTGAATAACAATTTGATACTACCTAAAATGAGACCTGCTTGAGATCGTCAACATCCAATTGAGAAAACAACATTGTACTAATAAGCATAAGATATGACATCTTTACAGTTAGGGAATTTTATCTTTTAACTAAAAGTAAACTATATTGGGAGATCCATTACACAAGTGATACTTCAAACAACAATGCAGAAAATATTTTGTTTTCATGCCAGAGAACAAGTGACAGCCTGTTTTGACCAGAGATAAAATTAGAAATGTTTGGGTAGCTACAATTTTATATACCAATGGGCAACCTAATTTGGGAGTCTAGTGAGGGAGGAATGTGTAAAGAAGAATATGTGTCTCCAAGCGACTAAACAAGCTCTAAGCTGTTTAATGATGATCTAGTCCATGTCACTGTTAGAGATTGTTTAACTAAAATCATAGACAGCATGGCTGTCTGAACGTAAGTCTTGGTCTGGTACCAAATTAATACAAAAGCAGTTTAAACCTGTTTTACTAGAATAAAAAAAGTTGAATCCTATCTTTGACCCTACTTTCCTTGAAGCTGCTATGTTCCAACTATTAGAAACTCCAAAAAGAGACCTAACTGCCAGTAGGAAATAAAATAAATGTAACAATGGAAGGGCGAAGAGTTAGAAAATAGTGTCCAACTCTTAGCATCCTTCAGCCTGATTCATGACAGCAGCAACTGCTGGGAAAGATAATTGGCAACATCTAGAAGGACATGTGTTCCTCATTCTTATTGTATCTAGTTTGGTAAGAAGAAAACCTGAAAGAAAATCTGAATATTGGCTGCATGAAAAGCATTTGTAACACACTAGCATTGCTTTTTATTATTTCAAGGCAGTCTTCCTAGACTGTCAATGCAGATGAGTTAATACAGGTAGTCTTTGACTTACAGCAGTTCAGAGACAGTTCAAAATTGCAATGGCATTGAAAAAAGTGACATGACCGTTTTTCACACTTACGACTGTTGTAAGGTGATATGATCAAACTTTGGACACCTGGCATCTAGTTCATATTTATGACGGTTGCAGTATCCTGGGGTCTCGTGGTCACCTTTTGCAACCTTCTGACAAGCAAAGTCAATGGGGAAGTCAGATTCACTTAACAACTGTGCCACTAACTTAACAACTGTAGTAATTCACTTAACAACTGGGGCAAGAAAGTTAAAAAAAATGGGGCAAAATTTATTTAACAAACGTCTCCTTAGCAACAGAATTTTGAGCTTAATTGTGGTCGTAATTCGAGAACTATCTGTATATGGATGAATGCTCCATTTGGAAGCAAATGTCTTGGCTATATTTGTAAAAGACTGTATAATCTAAATAAGGCTATCTTAGTCCTCAGCCAAAACATATGTATACATTAAGCCTGGATAATATAACCTATTTCAAATCCATGTATTTGGGTGTATTTGTTATTAACAATGTTTATTGCTTCATGAATGCCCCTTATCCACAAAAATGTGGATGTACATACTGTTTATGTATTTTTTAGAAATGTACTTATTTTAGAAATGTACTTATTAACATAGTCTAAATATAATCATACTAAACATTTTTATGGGGAAATATACACATTAATACATTTTGATGCAATGAACCAAATTGTAAAGTACAGAAAATCCAAACACTCTGATCGTATAGTCCAGCTGTCTCAAACTCAATTTACCTGGGGGCCGCTGGAGGCAGAGTCTGGGTGAGGCTGGGCCGCATAAGGGATTCCACAAAAAACGTTAAAAAAATATCCTCAAATGCCACACTAATATTATACTTTCATATCACGGTGGGGGCCACAGGATATCATCCTGCGGGCCGCAATTGGCTCGCGGGCCGCTAGAATGAGACCTCTGCTATAGTCTCTTACAGATACAGATCATGGCAGGATCTATTGGAATTCATAAAGATCAAATACTGATATAGGAAATATAAACATCTGGTCCTTCGTGTATCTGGAAGAAAAATGAGATTAAGGTAGAACCCGAGAAGCTAAATCTGTGCTGGTTTTAGTAATTCTAAAATAATTTTATTAATTATTTTTAATAATTTTCAGAATATGTTTAAACAGTTTTAAATTGTTTTTAGTATACTTACGTTGTAAAAAGCAGAAGAAAAGAGTGAATGGAATAATTTTAAGCTAATATTAGAAAAGAATCAACAAGATATTTTTTAAAAAACATTAAAACAAAACAAAAATTGAGAAGTTCAATGCTTTTGAATCTGGTTGAATGCTGAGAAACTAAACAATTCCCAATACAGTAGTATTCCACTTACAACCATAATAGAGCCTGCCCATTATAGTCATAAGTTGTGACAGTCGTAAAACAGGTCATCATTTGATTGACTTGATTTTGTGACCTTTTTGGCAGCAGTCATTAAGGCAACCACTTTGGTTGTTAAGCGAATCCACAGTAAGTTCCATAATGAACTCATTGTTTCCTATGTTTAGGCAGTTTTGCCAAAACCAAAAGTAAATGCCAGTTTTCAGCAAAAACATTGTAAAATTATGGTCATGTGACGATGGGGGGGAAGCTCAGAAATGTGAAACCAGTTCACCAGTTTGAGGGGGACCATCATAACTTGAAGTTATAGGATCAGAATTAGCTCTTCAGAGAATCAGGACTTTCGTTAGTATCTAAGATGCTGGTCCTATCCCAGTTACTCTGGCTGGAAGCTTTAAAGAATTGAGTTAGGCTAGCTAATGAGATATTACGTTAATGTGGAACCACACTATGAAATCTCATTTATAAAAAGTGTAATATAGTCATGGTTTGTAGAACCACCATTTTATTCAATATGTTTTCAAGCCTGGTAACTAATACTATAGACATACTATGTCTATACTCACACCCAGATAACATCATTATCAGCTATTACTTGAGAAATGGAAACAATACATAGTAGGATATATAACCTTTACATCTATTACAGAAAACAACTACCAATGGAATTGGAAGTCTTGAAAACCTATGCTTTGCTCAAAAGGCACAACAAACAAAAAAGGACTTTCTGTGCTTTTTGGACAAAAAATTGCACTATATATTACAGGAAGACATGAAAGAATAAACAAATTTGGTGGATATCCTATTGCAACTGAAGTATTCACAATTCTGCAGAGAAAATATAACTTTTAAATGTTTGCGTTAGATACAAGTGCAGGTTTCTGCATGAGTCTTCTGGGAACACAATCTTCTCCCAAAATTTCTATAATAAGTTTCTCTAGATGCATTGGGCAACTCCTAGAATGAGACTTCTGGGCAACACAAGCTGATGTTTAGTTTCCACTTAATTTCCCCTTGCATTTCAACACATAAATACATATTTTTATTTCAGTACTGTATGCTGCCGAATTTACACATTGGAATAATGTAGCATGGTGATTCTGTCTTGTGCGATTTATAAACCCAGGTTTCCTATTTTATCATGTATGGGTACGTGGGATGGTCCATGTGTTCAGATTATGTGCATAGATGCTAGGAATACTCCAAGTTTACATAAATGTAAACAACAGCAACAACAAAACCCCAAGAACTTATCTATAGTCAAAATATTATGTGATCACATTATGAAAAGGAAATCCAGGATACCATACAAACATATTCATAGATAGGAGCTAAAAGTGTACTAGTTGCAGGGAGATATAATGCATCTGGCCCTCAGAATGCAAGCCAGTCGCCGCTGTCATCTATTCCCAGATGACTGATACTTGAAGTAGTTGCCATTCTTCCATGTTGAAACTAAAAAGCCTTATATGGTAACGCCTGAGCAGACTTAAGCACTCTCAAGTGTTCCTCGGTGTTAAAAATCCTTTGGGGAATGCATAGCATACCCTTGGTAAAGATTACAGCATATTTTTTGGCAACCCCTCATAGAAACAGCACAGATACTGTATCTTTAAATTTCAAACTCTGCGGGTTACCTTGTCAGAAATAGAACAAGGGTTTCATTCCTGTTTATTTGCCTGCTGGGCTGAGATGGATGGGATAACTCATTCACCAAAAACATGAGCTGAAATCCTGATCTTGAGTATGAGTTCCAGTATTCTATTATTATTTTCAAGGAAGTTCTCAAAAAAGCAGGATCTGGCTATAGCTATTATCCTATCATTTGTTTTAAGAAGTTACGGATTCAGTTTCATTTGTGGAGATTTCCATTTATATGTATCCATGTATTCATAACTATGTTTTTACTTATACCTATTATCTTGTAAACAATTGACAAAAATAAATAAAAGAAAGAAAGAAATAAAAAATGAAATTATACTCATTTTATGTGCTTTCATGAACTCTGTTTTTGAATGCTATTTTCATTTCCCCCCTGAAAATGCTACAGATATTCAACGTATAAATGAATTAACCTGATCTCAAAAATTATAAGTTAATGACATTTATCCAGCCAGTTTCAGTGAAAACAGCCACTGAATGGAGGATTTAGGCAACATTTGGTGTGAGTTTAGTAAGTTAATTTAGTGCAGGGGTGGGATGGGGAATCTTTTCTGTGTCTTCTGAACAGGACTAGAGTTACACTAATATAAAAGAAATAGTGGAATAGGATCATTAAAGAAAGGATACCAAAGGAGGGACAAAATCACAAAAATTAAAATAACTTTTTAATTATTTTAAATAATTATATTGAATTTTGAATTCTGCAGCGAATTGGCATGGGCTGCAGAGAATTGGCTGTGGCAAGTTGACCATGGTAAATTGGCTGTAGTGAGTTGTAGCATTCTGCCTTTAGTTTCCTCCATATAAAAACAGCTCCGGCTGAAGTCAGAAAGCATTCATTTTTATTACAATTCTTTGCATTTCTATCCCCAAGTCTTGGGAACCTAAACCCCATTTATGCTGAAATCATCATATTCCTTAAAATGTTGTATGATAATCTGCAAATTTATCAGACCCCCTTTTTTGTTCGTCGTTGTTGATCTTATCTGAGAAATGTTGTAAATGACCACAGTTAAATTTTAAACAATCTTGAACGCTATTGTAAGTATTTCACTTTCATCATGTTTTTTTAAAAAAACAAATTCCTGACAAAGTTTGAAGGGCAGTAAATCTATTCTTACACAGTTTACAATTTTGCCCAGTCACAGAAGGTATGCTTCAAAAAGCATCTGCTTCAAAAGACATCCCGATGTTGAGGATAATTCTAAGAATGAGAGTCCCAATTGAAGAATGGATTCAGCCTCTACAGAAAGCACTGCCTGAAGGATTTACAAGCCATTTGTGCATCCAGCTGGTAACATTTTTATGTAACTTAAAAAGCCACTCTAATATTACACCGACAGTCAACACCAATCTGGTCTGCATACGCTTACAAGTTCAACCATTTTACTTTGTGAAAAGCTACCGATTTTTTGTTTAGCAAAAGGAATAGGAACAAACTATAAAATACAACTCAACATAAATTAACAGTCTCTACATATTCTGCTGCTTATTTACTTATTTAAGTAAAATAAATGGATGTCTTGCCTCTCCAGATATACTGTACTTTAAGTTATTTTGCTAAACTAATTTTTCAGTTAATAATCCCATATTCTATTTAGCCTTGTATAATCAGAGAAAAATGTATATGTTTTTATTTATAGAAGTGTATCCAAGTGGATAGTTAACAGTAGGATTAAAACACACACACAAATATCTATTGATATACCCCACAACTGCCTTGTTTAGCAACTGTTCAAAGTTACATTGAAAATTTACATATTGAGTCCTCTGTGTGATGATCATTGCAGTTTCCCTACAGTTGTGTAATCAACATTTGAGGACTTTGGAACTGGTGGGCATTTACCACCATCACAGTATCTGACAGTTACATGAGTACCATTTGTGTATTTCACAGCAGTTTCCGACAAGCTAAGTCAATGGATAGAGTACCAGTAAAATCACAAGTCATGGTCACATGATGTTTATTGTCCACATCACTTAGTGATAGAGTTATTGGTCCCAATTGTGGTTGTTGTGAGGACTAGACGTATATATCTATCACAGTGCACGGTGGCGCAATGGTTAGAGTGCAGTACTACAAACTACTGCTGACAGCCAGCTGCCTGCAATTTGGCAGATCAGATCCCACCAGGCTCAAGATTGACCCATCCTTCCATCCTTCTGAGGTGGGTAAAATGAGAACCCAGATTGTTGGGGGAAATATGCTGACTCTGTAAACTGCTTAGAGAGGACTGTAAAGTACTATAAAGCAGTATATAAGTCTTAAGTGCTATTGCTATTGCTATCACATATAAATCAGGTAAAATGTCAAAGAACCAAAACAATGCGTATTTGGAAACAGTCTGCTCTATAGCACCTAAAAATAGTCTAATTATGAGGAGATAGGTGCAAGATTTGTCACCAGAGTTTCTATGATTCACAGGGGGCAACACAGAGTATCAAATTAACCCGGGTTAAGATTCTTCGGCTATGACTTCCTCTGCTGTTGATGTAGCTGTGAGTCCAGGACAATTCCTGTGCTGTCCCAGCCAGTCTATGGGAATTGGATAGTTACTTAGGAATTATGAGCTGTCCCCTTAAGGGAATGCATCATGGTAAATGTAGTTAAAGATATCCTGGGAAATGTAGTCCATGTCACATGGCCACATCTGTAATCCCGACTGGTCACTAATTTGACCCTTGATGGGTTGGGGAGTTTCCCTCACTTTTGCCTGAACTCCCTAACTCAAGGGAGCTGCTTTCTATCGCTACGGGATGGGTTAGGAGATAACCATCTTTTACTACACGGCAGATATACAAAGGATTGGTCATTAAAGAAGAACTTCATCACAAATGTGAGTTATGAGGATACCTGATGAACCAATAAATGTACTTTGTTATGTATGTCTTGTTGAGTTATCTATCTGCATCTGTAGAGTTTATAAATCCACCTCTGTGCAGAAGACAGAAAAGTAAAAGATGATCTCCTGAGGCCCATCTGTATAAAGACTGTTAATTTGAATTTGTGATAAAGCAAAGTAATATTGAAGCCAGGAGTGAATATGCAATGTTAATCTAAACCTGCATTTCCCATTGTCTCTCTCTGTGAGCATCGGAACTCTTTACATGCTGTGGATGGTGGGAAGGGCTGGAATTGCCCACATGCTAGTAACAAAGAGAACTTTCTAACCACAGAATAGAAAACCAGTAACCCACCCACCCCCTCTTCTTTGCTCAATTTGTCTTCCTGCTATCTCAAAGACTTCATTTGCATAACAAGGAGAGTCAGATATTTCCCAGCTCTCAAAGGAAAATCAAACCTCTGTCTTTAATTCCCAAGTTAGAGATCTGAGGTAATCTTCACAAAAACACTCAACACAATTCTAAGCAAACTTTTGGGCATCAAATGTAAACATTCCCATTTTATAATTTTCACTGTATTTCTCATTTTACAAAATATTTTCAAATAAAAATGCATAGGAATTGTAAGTAAATGTTCACAGTCTGTTTGCTTATGTGCCATGAAGTCAGTATTGATTCTTAGCAACCACATAGGTAGAATTTTCTCCATGACTATCTGTCCCTCACCTGGTCTGCAAGGAGAAAACAGAATCATATATAAAATACTACTTTATGGATTAAGAGCGTTTTGCCTAAGCTGTTAAATATAACAAGAAGATTCAAGAGCAATAATATTGAATTTAAAATGTGAATTTTAAATGTGAATATTTGAAAATTTTTATTTTTCAAAAAATAATGTCTTTTCACAATAAAATGAAAATATATTTTAGAATATGTTGCATTTGTTACATTTGTTACAGAAATGTAATATATAATAAAAATATTGTATAAAAATTGCAGGTCAACAGTGAAGGGTGAGGGAGCTGGAAATAATTTTTGGCCTGAACAGTATTCTCTTCCCATCCAACTCCATAGCAAGGATATTTTGGGGTTGGACAAAGAAAAATCATAATAAAAGTAAGAAATGCCATTGCATTTTTCAATTCTATTCTGTCAGTCTATTTCTGGCAGAGCTTATCAGTGTGCTTAGAAAACGCATTAGCATTATTTGACTGCTCAAGGAAATCAATTTTTGTTATCAAATGAAAAGCCACTAGGGGAAAAATACCGCTCATAATCAGCTTTTAATAGAAAGTTCTTGACTGAATAGGTGCCTTCTCATTTTATATGCAGAAGTTAACACATTTTCAAAAAGTTTTCCCTGGAAATCATTTCTTCTTTTTTCTAATGACAATATAACAAATGACTTAGTAATTCTGGTCACTTTCTAGATCTAGAACTTAATTTCTGCATGAACAACTTGGTCAAAAATGCTGAGGAAGGTTTCTAATAGTATAAAATTAGAAAAAAAACCAGATAAGAAAATGTATACAAAAATGTATATATATTATTGAGCCATGGAAATTGGTAACAATAGCTTTGTGATTTTTCATTTATCTTATGATTTTCCCATTTTACAAAAAAAAAGTCCATATTGGAGATTTATTCCACATAATTCTGGAGCTCTACATTCCTTGCAAAGTTATTTATAAAATTTTGATGACTTCCATATGTTTCAGCTGGGAATCCAAGTAGCGCAAAGCTTTTGCAAAAGGAAGTTTTTATAAAAATTTCTCGAAGTGTACAGACACACAGAACAATATTCCAGTGATCCATAGCTGACTAACAAATGTGGAAGGTCTATTTATATGGTTTGCTGTTGTGCCATTTTACCCTTTGCTAATGTAAACTGGAAGAAAGAACTATACAGAGCTTTTGTTTCAGCATGCAGCAAGGGAAACCTTTTTATTTGTTGCTAGATGAAATCAGAAAATTCGAACTGCACGGCACTCGTATCTGCAAGTGCCTGATTTATAGCACCTGATCAGATTTCTGCTCACTTGCGAAGTAATAAGTCATTTGTGTTTTGAATGGTGGCCTTGGAACTGTTCTAGCTGCTTTAAGCTTCAAGTTCAGGTTGTGACTGTGGGGGGACTGTGCTGCAGAGGCCATAAGTATGAGGACTGATTGTAAAGCACTTTTTTCAATGCAGTTGTAATTTCAAACAGTTGCTAAACGAATGGTTATAAGTCAACGATTAGCTGAACAAGGAGATTTTGGAAATTAAAGAATATAGGAATATATGAAATTTACTGAATAATGCCAATTAGAAGGGCCCAACTGGACTACAAAGCAGCCATTAAATGGTGAGAAAGGGGGAATTCAGAGACTATGTATTAAACAAATAAATTCTATCCTGTTAAGGCATGTTTTATTTTATTGTACCTTGCTTTAATATTCCTCTTAAGAGAAAGTGGAATAGAAGCATAGTCCTCTCTCTCTCTCTCTCTCTCTCTCTCTCTCTCTCTCTCTCTCTCTC